ATACATACAGTAAATCCCCAACTTAAGAACATAATGGGTACTGAGAGGCTGTTTGTAAGTTGATTTGTTTGTATGTCGAAAGTCGGGTCTCCATTACCTTTTTTCCCATTTTTTAAAAGTTTTGTTTACATTAAGAATGCCTATAAATAAATCACAATAAGTACGACATAGCTTATACAGTACCAGACTCTTGAACTATATTTGCGCCCGGGAAATTTGAAGTATGCTAGCATCTTTCAAACAATTTTTTGGACTTTAGTACTTTAAAAATTTTGTTTGTATGTATGGAATGTTCATAAGTAGAATGTTCATAAGTAGGGGACTCTCTGTATATGGAAAGAGAGAGATATACATGTATAAGCTTATGAAGCCTTTCATCAGTAAGCCTTTTCATTTTTTTTTCTTCCAAGTCAACCCACCTCTTCTATCTTCTTCGAAGCGAGAACCTCACTGAGTTCTTTGATTGCCTTTATCCGCGTTGACGTGAGTGACTCGGGCCCCAGTTCCGCCCTGAGCTCCTCCGTCAGCCGGATTTCTCGACTCCCGGTCACATTGCCGCGGTCGAGCCTGAACCATCGTTTGAGTCTTTCCGGAAAACTCCTTTCTGCCTTGCTGTCCTTGCTCATTTTATATTCATATCACCATCAGAAAAAAATGAAATAAAATAAAAAAATCAAAATCCTTTCTGCTTTCCCTCCGTATCAGACTCGACACCAAATGCTGAAAAGAGAGGAAAAGAAGCGTCAGAAGACAAAAAAATAAAAAATATATATTCATTTAAAGATAATAGGAAGTTTTGCAAAGAATGAACAAATCTGGGATCAGTGTGCTGTAAATCAACTAAAAATATGTATGCTGTATACCATTAGACTGAAATAAACTAAAAACATATATGCTGTATACCATTATCAATTAGTTTAACCCTGTGACAGCCACCTAGCCTTAGAGAACAATATAACACAACTGCTACAGAACACACAACAGAACTGAGCACAGTCGCTTAACAAAGATACCACACCAAAGCAAGGGCAGACAAGAGACCGCCACCACATAAACTATTCAAGCAATCGTGACTTCGTAGACTATCGTGGTAAACTGCCCTCAAAGTCAGGACCAAAGTAAGCTCTATTTTGCTTAAAATGTAGTGCAGGTATTGAGCCATTTGCCTGAGGGTAGGAAGTCGACAACAGTTCCCTAGATTTATTGTCTGAGGTTGACGTGATCCATTTATTCAAGAATTGGCTGATTTTCATTCTAGTTTTGGCTTAAATAACCCTAAAGCACAAGAAAATTAAATAAAAGTACTCTGCAAAACCTCATGTATTTCCCTTAAGACTATTACTATTATCTTTTTTATTTTCATTATTATTATTATTATTATTATTATTATTATTATTATTATTATTATCATTATTATTATAATTATTATTATTATTATCATTATTATTATTATTATTATTATTATTATTATTATTATTATTATTATTATTATTATTATTATTAATTTACTTTCTTTTTAAGTGATTAACTAAACACCAAATTTTGTGCACATATGAACAATCAAATTGAGGTCAAAATAAAATATATGATAATAATTAACTATAAATTCAATTAAGCTATGCCAATTTATAAATAAAATTAACCAGAAAAGGTTTCACCTAATATATTCCCAAAGTCACATAGTCTTAAATAATAATAATAATGATAATGATAATGATGATGATGATGATGATGATGATGATGATGATGATGATGATGATGATGATGATGATGATGATGATGATGATGATGATGATGATAATAATAATAATAATAATAGAAAAAAAAAAAAAAAAAAAAAAAAAAAAAATATATAATATATATATATATATATATATATATATATATATATATATATATATATATATATTATAAGTACCATCAATGTCATTTTAATGCTTTGGGTTACTATCCATCATATCATCCTGTCAGTTTATATCCAGAAAAAGACAGATCAAGAAAATATAGAACTAATAGTAACAAAGAACACAGACAGCAAACAAACAAACAAAGAATCTTATATCAAGCTTCACATGATTGATATCAACATTTGAAATATTGCTAGACTCCTTACAAAGTATACTATCAAACTTTTTCTCTGAGCTGACCAACTATACCAACAATTTTGGTAAAAAGTAATTGTAGTTATTAAGAGCTGTTAATAGTATTAATAGTTAATGATCAATTTCCTTTGCACACACACCTTTGGCACTCAGGCAAATGGCCAACACACCTTTCACCTAAATTCTGGCAAGAGACGTCATGCTGACTTTTCTGGCAATTTGTCAACGGATGAAAAATAAAAAAACTAGTTGTCGGACAAAGAGAGAATTAATTTAATTTTATGAGGTTCCTGGCAGCTGAAAAAAAGGCAAGAAATCCCTAGACATGACCTCCTAACATAGGTTTTCGGAGGACTTTATACCAGACAATCAAGAAAAGTGTCGTGGTTGTCTTTGCC